AATTGGATCAAAAACTCATTTCTTGTTGATGAATTTCTCGATTGATTTCTGCCCAAGATCAAGTGGAGAGAGAATAGAGAAGAGAGAGAAAAGAAAAAGAAGATAAAGTGACTGGATGGCGCCACCGCCACCCTCCTCTTCGTCTCTCTTGCTGCCGTTACCCTCCTATTGACTCTTTGTTCTTGCTCAAAGTTTTTAGAGAAGGGAAAAAAAAAAAAAAACTCAAAACGACTTTGTTGTGGCACCACAGCAGGAAACGTTGCAGGATACAATGGCAGACGATTCAGACTTGATTTTAACTATTCTTATAATATATGTCATGGTATGAAGCATGGGTACAAGTACTAGTACTGATACGATACGAGTATGTCGATATGGTAAAATTAAAAAAAAAATAGAGTACAGGTACGACTTGGTATGCTTGTAAAAAATATTTATTTTTAATTTAGGTTAATACAAAAATTAATTAAATAGTTTAATTTGTTAAGGTCCAACCTACAAGTAACATTTAATATCAAAAGTAAAGATATAAATTAAAATTAAATGTTAATATATTAAATAACTTACAAATCATAATTTAATTTTAAAATCATACTAAGCATAAAACAAAAAATAAAAAGAAGTCTAGTGAAAAGAGTTTTGTCTCTGTAGTAGAAAAAAATATTGTTTCAACTGAATTACGGTACGACTTAGGTATATACTAGTTACTTCTAGGTATACTAAAGTTAAGAAAAAAAATTTTGGATATATATTTTATGTACCCAATGGGCATGTTTGATTGGGTGGATTAGAGTATGGGATTAGGATTATTGATCCGTGGGTCCAATTATCTTATGTTTGTTTTAACATTTTGGTTTAGGATTATTAATCCAATGGATAATTAATCCAACAAATTTGTAGGATTATTAGTAATAGGATAGGAGTGAGATTATTAATCCAATGGATATTAATCCAATTGGATAGTGAATACTACACTAAATAGAATTATTAATACTTCACTATTAGTCTTGTAAATCAAAATGACCAATATGTATACAAAAGTATCATAATATCATATGTCAATAAATAGCCGATACAGATACGAATATTTTTTAAAGTTCCTATACTTCATGGACGACCTGACTCTAAATTATTCATATTACATAATGGTATCGATTTTATTAAATTTAATATGTTAACACGACTATAAAAATTTAATGCCAACTAATCCAGTGTTGTTTTATATTACAAAATTGCCCATTTTCCTTTCTCTCATCGTCAACCTTTTACGTGTTACTGCTCTCATCTTTTCTGACTATTGGCTCATTCCACAACCATAAACCCACCACCATGCCTCAGACCCCAAGTGGGGGTCACTGGGGGGTCGCGTGTGTTGCCCTCCCATTGGCCAAAAAAACAAACTGTTTTTTTTTTATTTTTTATTTTTTATTTTTTATTTTCAGCGAATCATGGCCCGCCACCTCACTGGGGTCGACCCCCCAGTGGGGGTATTTAGCATGGTTGTTTCGACCATTAACTAACGTTTTGTTTAGTTATGATTTTTAGAAATTATTTTCAGATAGATTTTTATTAAATTTTTTTATATTTTAATAATATATATATATATTATTTTTTAAATATATAAAAGATTAGATACATCTAAAAAGTAAAAAAAATTAACTAAAATATGAAAAAAAAAATCTCTAAAAACAAATGAAAATCCGAACAAAAGTGCATATAAATTTTTGTTTTTTTAAAATATTTTAGTCAATTTATCTTACTTTTTAAATACATCTTGATTAGGTGTATTTAAAAAATACAAAAAAAAAAGTTTAAAATATTAAAAAAAATTACTAAAAATAAATAGGAACTCATTTAAAAATAATTTTTAAAAAATCAAACTAAACAACAGACGCTTCTTAGATTTTTTGGACTAAACCTAAGCTGTTGGTTGGTCTTTAATAGAGGTGGAGGCTCGCGAGGTCCGAGGTAGGGGTGGGCAACGGTTTATCCGAACTGTTCAAACCGCCCAATCCGCCCAACCCGCATATAAATAGGCGGTTTCGCAAACATAATGCGAGCGGATGCGGTTTGAAATATGACAAATTTGCGGGTTGCGAGCGGGCAAAAACCGCCCGCACTTTAATTATTATTATTATTTTTTTTTATATACCAACTTTGTAACTTTTACAGGAGCACCATTATATTCTCTATGGCACTAGGATCCTTATTTTTAAGTAGTTCTCAACTTTCTTAATGCCGTAGAATTATCAAGTCCTAAACTTGGTTTCTTATATGATTTTCATTGGTGATTCATCCACTTTTTCCTAATAAAATTTTCCTTCTAATGGTCGATAGAACTTATAGTTTGATTATTGATTACTGAACTGACAATTCTAATTAAGTACAACCTTTAATGCATTGATATATATTTTTTTCATGGCAAAAATGCTAGTGTAGGGTCTCTTTGTTTTGGGTACTTTCATTTAATGCATTGATATTCAATTTTTATTTGTAAACTCATCAAAAAATTGTTATCACAAATATATAAAATGAATCTGATGCCTAAATTCGCTGGGAAAAAAAAACTCAAAAATTAATTTTTAAAGAAAAAAGTGTAAACCGCAAACTGCCTGCAACCGCCCGCACATTTGCAAACCCTATCCGCACAAACCGCAAACCGCACTGCGGGCGGTTGCGGGTTGGTTTTTTCCCAAACCGCATAGATGCGGGCGGGTCAAAACCGAACCGCAAACCGCACAAAACCGATCCGCGAACACCCCTAGTCCGAGGTCACATGCCTCTTCACAATTTTTAAAAAGTTGTATTTTTGCTTCTAATTAAAAAGAAATAAAGTTAATTCTTTCTAGTATGTTCTTAAATTTTTATATCACTGTTTTTTATTTTTATTTTTATTTTTTTAAAATCTAATTAATTTATCACTTTAAATGTTTAATTCTGCTAATTTTTATTTTAATTTTTTTTTTATATAAATTTTACAATAGACAACTGCTATATGTCATTAATTTTTTTTTTTTTTCTGTATTATACCACATCTTATATAAATACTCATAATTAGTTCATTTGTTTAGGGATCATTATTACACAACTACTAAAAAAGGGAGCTTTTGATACGAAATCTTTTGTGATGGTTTGAAAATCGTCACAAAAATTATTTTTTTTGCGACGACAAATGAAGTTGTCACAAAAGTAATTGTTTTGCGACGGGAAATCCAATTATGTGGCAAAAAAGAGTATCTTTTGCGACGATTTGGTACCCGTCATTTTTTTTTTGCGATTGTTTTATTTTTTTCTGCGACACCATTTGTTCCACCGTCACAAAAAAAATTTTCTTTTTTTTTTGGCTTGTTGGACCCTGCTCATTTCCTTCTCTTCTTAGACCATCTCCAACGGTGCATCAAACTTAGTATCAGATTTAAAATTTGATGAAAAAGTCATTGTTTGTGTCTCTAATGGTTTCACCAAATTGATATCAAAATGAGAACATAAGACCATCTCCAACGCTGAACCAAACCCAGCATCAGATTTAAATTTTGATGAAAAACCCACTTTTTCACGCTCCAACGGTTGCACCAAAGTCATACCAAAATGAGAATTCAGCAAACAAGACATCAAACTGAGATCAAGACACAGATTTTACCAAATCACTGTTACTGACCGTTGAAAATGCTACACCGGTCGACCAACCGGTTGCCCGGCCGGTTGACCAACCGGTCAACCAGTAAAAGATTCAAACAGTTCAGAAAATTTTAAATCTAATTAATTTATCACTTTAAATGTTTAATTCTGCTAATTTTTATTTTAATTTTTTTTTCTATAAATTTTACAATAGACAACTGCTATATGTCATTAATTTTTTTTTTCTGTATTATACCACATCTTATATAAATACTCATAATTAGTTCATTTGTTTAGGGATCATTATTACACAACTACTTAAAAAAGGAGCTTTTGATACGAAATCTTTTGTGATGGTTTGAAAATCGTCACAAAAATTATTTTTTTTGCGACGACAAATGAAGTTATTTACAAAAGTAATTGTTTTGCGACGGAAAATCCAATTATGTGGCAAAAAAGAGTATCTTTTGCGACGATTTGGTATCCGTCATTTTTTTTTTGCGATTGTTTTTTTTTTTTCTGCAACACCATTTGTTCCACCGTCACAAAAAAAAATTTCTTTTTTTTTTGGCTTGTTGCACCCTGCTCATTTCCTTCTCTTCTTAGACCATCTCTAACGGTGCATCAAACTTAGTATCAGATTTAAAATTTGATGAAAAAGTCATTGTTTGTGTCTCTAATGGTTTCACCAAATTGATATCAAAATGAGAACATAACAAAAGTTTCATCAAATTGAGGACAAGCTCCAGATTTTATCTTTTCACTGTGCTATATCGTTGGAGTGGGCCAACTGGTCAACTAATTGGATGTCCGACTGGTTGACCTATCAGTCGACCGGTTCCTTTCAAATAGGTAGGTTCAAGCCGGTCAAAAATGTTCAAATAGATTAAAAAAAAAAATTATCTTATTGGTCGATTGGCCGGTCGACCCGCCGGTTAACCCACCAAATGATTATTTTCTTTTTGATGTACGGTTGGAACCAGCGATATCAAATTGAAAAAAATTAACTATTTTTTACACAAATTTAATAAGAAAAAAAAGTAATGAACTGTTGGAAGATTATCAGATGAAAAATGTTTGGGAGCACTAATTAGTGCTCCCACTAATTAGGTGGCAGTGGGTCCCGCCATTAATGATGTAATGTTTTGGTCTTGGAGTTGTATTTTTTTTTTATTTTTTTAATACATTACAAGCCGGTCAAAAATGTTCAAACAGATTAAAAAAAAAAATTATCTTATTGGTAGATTGGCCAGTCGACCCGCCGGTTAACCCACCAAATGATCATTTTCTTTTTATGTACGGTTGGAACCAGCGATATCAAATTGAAAAAAATTAACTATTTTTTACACAAATTTAATAAGAAAAAAAAAGTAATGAACTGTTGGAAGATTATCAGATTAACAAAAAAGGAAAAATCGTCCATTCCAGAAAAAACCTAGTGGTCACTGTGTCTCTTTCGCTCCCAGTCGTCTATCTCGCAGCCCCAACAACACCAGCGTGGAAGAGTTCCGGTTACCCTTCTCTCCTCTCACACTCACTTGCACAGACCCTGACAATATCTCTCTCTCTCTCTCTTGCTTTCGTTCTCATTGTCACGTATCCCTCACAGGCTGTCTGTAGCAGCAGCGGCAGCAACTTTGCACATATTCTCCCTCCGGCATCCAGGTATATCTCTCATCTGCTCTCGTTTGCTATTCTCGCCTGTCTTCTCCTCTTTTTCTCTTCTTTTGCCTTTATTGGAATCAAACCCTCTTCATTGTATTTGTTTTTGCTTTTGCCTCTACCTACTTTTTTTTTTATTCTATTTGCTGATTTGGGAATGTTCCCCTTTGCAATTGTATTAGTTTTATTTGGGTTTTCTATGCCACTGATTTGGGAATGTTCCCCTCTTCATTGATTTGGGAATGTTCCCCTCTGCCATTTCTACGTTTCCCTCTGCCATTGTTATCAATTTCTAACTGAACCCAGAGGTTTTCTTTGAATCAAATTGGTTGTTTGTAATGGGTTTTGATTTCATTGAAGTGGGTTTCATCGATGGGTTTTATCAATGGGAAATTGAAGTCAATTGGAAAATTTATGGCTGTGTTTGGTTGTGCTTTTGAAACGTGATTCTACACCTGTGTTTCAGTATGATGTTTGTTTAGGATTTTGTAATCACGTTTCAAAAGTTCTGCTGAGAGCTCTGTACCAAATCTGTCTCAGCCGCTCTTTTGCTCTGTTTTTTTTTTCAAAATTTTTGCTAAGGGGACGTCCGGCCGGTCGGCCGGCCGGTTGACCGGCCGGCTGTCCGGAACAGTAATTTTTTTTTTTTTTTTTTTTTGCAATATAATCGGGACAAATATTTTCTGAAAATTTTTAAATTTTTTATGTGCTTTAAAATAATTTTGAATTGTATGTTTAGTTATGAGTTGTAAATTTTTGTATCACATATCAAATGTCACATCAATAATTTCCCACTCAAATCAAACCTCTTTTCCAAAACTATTTTCAAAACTCTTTACCAAACAAATTTTCTACACTCAAATCATAACTCCACAACACACAAACTCAAAATACAACTCATACTCTCAAATCACATTTACAAAACTCTACCAAACGCTACCTATATTTTTTTTTTCACCCGGTTGATTTTAATATTTAATTTTATCATTGGGTTGGCCTTTTCCTGTTCATTGTTTATATATTTATTTATTCTCCTCTTGATTGTAACCCATTAAATATTTTCTATCCAAGGCAGTTAGAATTTTATTATCCGATTTGGTAGCAAGTGATTTGGAAATTATATTTCACTGCCAATGAAATCCATGTTAATGTTTATAAGTGTAGAATTAGGGTTACACGAAAGCAACATGGGAATTACAAAAGTACCCAAAAAATTTCGGGGCTTCTAAAAATGTTACCATGTCTTTTGCTTCGCCACTGGGGAGAAATATCTTCCTAATTGGCTATTCCACATAGCTGTTGTATGCTTATTTAGCTTTACTTCTTCAAAACAGTTGATGGAGGTCATTAAACTTGAGAATTTTGGCCACTATCGAGATGACATGATTATCCCTGGAGACATCTCTCTTTTGCAACTAAGTAGTTTCCACTAAATTGATGTCTTAATGCCAAATATTCCAAGACTACCTTTCCTGGAGCCCCACATTGGCAGGACCAATGTTGCACAATGGCCTTTCTTATAAGTTATATTGTTGTAGACATCTCTCATGCATTCATGAAAGGACTTGCCAGCCTTGACAAGAGTTCTATTTGTGATTTTTATAGTAGTTTTTTAGTCGTACTTAATTTTATGAAGGGTGCTTTTGTTTCACATTAGTCAGCCGCTAGTCCTCATTTAATAAATCCATTAATGGTAGGGTATCTAAATCATTCATTGCCCAAACCCAAAACCCAAAACTAATTATTCTTAACGTAAGTTGAACAGATTCACTCCAACAATAGTTATAAAACAATCTACTGCTTAGGGTTTACATTTTGTCAATACTCCTTTTCCGTATATCATTTTTTTGGGGGTCGCAAATCTAGGAGCCACGTGTTAGTGAGTGTTCCATTTTAGTCTTACTGTTATGTGTGAAAAAATTGATGCTAACGTCATTCAGGTCTTATTGTTTGACAATTAGAATGCAGTCTTTTCTGGAAAATGTTATAGGCTCACACAGTTATGTTCATGCGTTAAGGTAGTGTTTGGTTCATTGGAATGGAGGTGGAATGGAATGATCATTCCATCAGAATGGTCATTCTCACATTTGGTTCACTAAAAAAATGTTGAAAAATATATTGTGAATGGAATCATCATTCACCATTGTAAGTGAATGATCATTCCGTAGGGAGGCTAAGGAATGGGCATTGTATCCCATTTTACTTTCATTTCAGTGAACCAAATATAGCATCAGTATTTTGTAGTAACTATAATCATTTTATGATTATCAAGCACATAAAAATCATAATCAGCATTTATGTTTACTTTTCCTGGTTAATTTGATCCCCAGCTTTGTAGTGGAGTAGACGAGAATGCTGTTGGTGCCTGTGCAGAACTCATCTTTGCTCCAATTGATGCCTCTTTCTCTGATGATGCACCTCTTCTACCATTTGGTTTTCGCATCATTCCTCTTGATTCTGGGACAGTAAGTGTTTCTCTTGTCTGATATAACCTAAAGATGGGTTCTTTCATGCTCTTCCATCTGTTAAGTTCATTCCTTAATACAAATCTTCAAGATGATGCAGGATGCCTCTAGTCCAAATCGTACACTTGATCTTGCATCTGCTCTCGAGGTTGGACCAACTGGAAATAGAGGTTCTGGTGATTATTTTGGCCATGATGGGAGTGGAAAATCTGTTATGACAATAGCATTTCAATTTGCATTTGAGATTCACCTTCAGGAAAATATTGCAGCTATGGCTCGTTTGTATGTGCAAAGTATCATAGCATATGTTCAGAGGGTGGCATTGGCACTATACCCTTCTCGTTTCAGTTCTGATGTTGGTTTGCGGCTACCCCCAGTCCCTCCAGAAGCACACGCACTTGCTTGTTGGATCTGTCTCAGCTACAGGTGTGTTTTCAGATCATTTATTTTGCAACTTAGGAATGGTTCTTACTTGAGTGCAACATGTTGGAGTCCATGTCATAATTAGAATTCATATCTGAATATATTTCACTATGAGTGTGAAGTGAGAAACATTGCTTACAATTGACATTCTGCATGTTGGCCAGAATAGTGAAATTTACCACAAGGAAACTGATATTCAGTCCTTTATAAAATCATGCATGGAAGCTGTTTTATGGTGATGAGAATTTTAGTTTGACTTTCGTGATTAAGTTGAGTCATGCTAGATTCGATAAGGAAAGATTAGATCAAATCTAATATTTGGTTATGAAGTTCCTTTCTTTGGAGCTTGTTGATTATTTTTTGGTACTTCTATGATGGATATATACATGTATACGTGACGAGGCTGGTTTGGTTTTTATGTGGAAGCAATGATAATTTTCTTTCGAAAAAGATTCTAGTGTGTTTTAATTTGAATTGGTAATCTGTGGGTAAGAAAATATGCTGTTAAGGTAACATTAAAATAATATAGGACTGTTTAGACCATCCTTATCAAATCTCTGTAGTTTTTCTCAGAAGCTTGGATAACACTGGCTTAGTACAATTGACCAACTCTGGCCCAACTTATTATTTGTGAGTGAATTGGGCTTGGTAGCAACATATCTTCTGATACTTAATTTATAGAAGCACTTTGGACATTCGATGTGCATCACAGGAGACATGACAGGAGTTAGTGACATGACAGTTAAGGACACCAGTTAACAAATTTCTTACATTCTAGGTTCATTGATAGCTTCTTTGACAGGTGCTTTTTAGGTGTGGAGCTAATTAAACCTGTTAATGAAGGAAGTGAATCGATTCTCAAGACACTTTGGCATCACTCAGATGCTGTGATGTGTTGCTCTTTGAAGGTATTCTTTCGATTGTTTTACTTCTCATTTTTATAACAAATTCTGCTCTAAGTATTTGCAGAAGTCTGAATGTTCTTCATTTATGATTTTTTAGAAATAATCCTTGTTGTGTAACATTTATTTATTTGTCAACCAGTTAAAACATAATTCTTTCTTTACCTGCTGAATTATGTGATTGTGAATATCGAGGATGGGAACAATGTAAACATATACAACAATATGTTCTGTGTTATTTAGAACCTTGCCTCTTTTTGTCACTTTGAAAACACACTAGCTTAGACAATTGATACACTGCTATGCATTTGGGTTGATTGCTCTCGTTTAGAAACTTTTTTTTCCGAACCGGTTGACTCACTAAAATAGTCAAACGGTGTTGGATGTTGACGAAACTTGACACACACGACTAACTACACACAAATGACTTGTAGGAGAAGACGGAACTCAAAACCGATTCTCGATTTTGAATCTAGAGACTAATTTCCATTTATAAAAACTTATTCTTTAAAAACTCTTTTCCGAACCGGTTGACACACCAAAATGCTCAAACGGCGTCAGATGTCAACGAAACTTAACACACACGACTACCTAGTTACCGATGACTTATATGAGAAGACGGAACACGAAACTGATTCCCGATTTTGAATCTAGAGCCTAATTTCCGTTTATAAAAACTTGTTCTTTAAAAACTCTTTCTCGAACCGGTTGACACACCAAAATGCTCAGCTGGCGTCAGATGTCAACGAAACTTGATACACACGACTAACTAGGCACACTGACTTGTAGGAGAAGACGAAACTCGAAACTGATTCCCGATTTTGAATCTAGAGCCTAATTTCCGTTTATGAAAACCTATTCTTTAAAAACTCTTTTTCGTACCGGTTGATACACCAAAATGCTCAAACGGCGTCGGATGTCAACGACACTTGACACACACGACTAACTAGGCACCAATGACTTGTAAGAGAAGACGGAACTCAAAATTGATTTCCGATTTTGAATCTAAAGCCTAATTTCCGTTTATGAAAACTTGTTCTTTAGAAACTTTTTTCCCAAACTAGTTGACTCACTAAGATGCTCAATCGGCGTTGGATGTCAACGAAACTTGGCACAGGCGACTAACTAAGCACAAATGACTTGTGGGAGAAGACGGAACTAGAAACCGATTCCCGATTTTGAATCTAGAGCCTAATTTCTGTTTATGAAAACTAGTCATTTACAAACTCTTTTTCCAACCGTGTGACTCACTAAAATGCTCAAACGGTGTCGGATGTCAATGAAACTTGAGACACACAACTAACTAGGCACAAATGACTTGTAGGAAAATACGGCATGCGAAACCGATTCTCAGTTTTGAATCTGGAGCCAAATTTGTGTGTGAAAACTTGTCCTTTCGAATTGTTTTCATCTTTTGTGTTTATTCTATTATTGTTAGATTATAGCACAATGGCGCCGTTTGGTATAGCTGTTAAAACAACTTATAAATTATAACTTAACATATTATAGATTATGACTTTAATCAGAAGTTGTTAATCTGTTTGGTGTAGCTATTGGATTATAGATTTAAGTTGCTAAGTAGTGCTTGTTAAATAAGCTGTGAAATAGCTTTTTCAATTAATTTTTATTTTTTGTTTGTCTACATTTCTCATAAAAAATAATAATAATGATCTATAGTCCATTTGAGTCTTTTTCTATTTTTAAAAAAATAAAAAATAAAAAAATTTAAGAGTATAACCATAAATTAACATGTCTACAGCAGAAGTTGATAATCAAAAGCAAGAGGTGAACAGCTTCTCAGAATTAGCTTTTTTGAGTTAAAATAAGCTGTTAGAATCAGAAGCTGTTTGAAATAAGTTTAACCAAACAGTCCAAACTAACTTTTTCAAAGCTAAAAGCCATAAGTTGGCTCTGAAAAGTTGAAACAAACACCCCCAATGTGTTCAATCACTACCTGATTTTAATAGTATTATCATCATCGTAGGATGTAATTAAAGTTTCTTTGGATAGTTCACGTATACCAATAGTCCAATTGGCGGAGGGTCTTCTTATTAGTGACGATCCGTTGTGTGAAATTGATGGAGTTCCAATTGGCCTTGAATATTGCAAAGTGTTTGTCTTAAAAGCGAAAAAGCCGAACACTCTTTTGGAAACAACATCCCGAGGTCTAAGAACAGTTAGAGAAGTTGTTGGAAGATACACTGTGTGGCGCTCGATTTGTGTATATGTTACAATCTTATTTATGTATTTATTTATTTATTGAAAGAAATACCAAATGTTTTACATTTATATAAGCTTGAAATTAATTATATTGAAAATGATTTTTTTTTCTTTTTATTTTCTTTTTGCAGACGCAACCCTTTTGAGTACGTGATGATATTTTCGCATATCGATATTAGAGCTCACAATCTTATTGTTTTACATTTTCTGTAAACTTGAAATTAATTATATTGTAAATGATTTTTTTTTTTTTTTTTTTGGTTTCCTTTTGCAGATGCAACCATTTTGAGTATATGATGATATTTTCGCAAGCTCCAATCTTATTTATGTATTTATTTTTTTACTGAAATAAATATCCAATGTTTTACATTTACTGTAAGCTTGAAATTAATTATATTGTAAATTTTTTTGGATTTCTTTTTGCAGATGCAACCTTTTTGAGGACGTGATGATATCTTCATAGATCGATATTGCAGCGTACAATCTTATTTATTTATTTATTAAAATAAATATCAAATGTTTTATATTTTCTGTAAGCATGAAATTAATTATGTTGTAAATGATGATTTTTTTTGGGGTTTCTTTTTGCAGATGCAACCTTTTTTGAATACGTGGTGATATCTTCGCATATTGGTATTAGAGCTTAATGTTGATATTAAAACAAGTTATAATTTATATATTTTTTTTATTTGTATTGTATACTTTTATTTTGCTTTAGATACAAAAATTTAAGTTCTTGAATATTCAAAATTATTAGTATTGTTGGAGGATGTTTTATATATTTTTGTAAAGAATATTTGGTTGACAATTGTTGCAGGATACATATATACGTATGATTTTGTAGATGTGAATGTGGATGTGGATGTGGATGTGGATGTGGATGTCTTTTATTTTAGAAAATATTAATAATTTGTACAGGGAATGAGTTAATCACATATATATTGATTTTGTGAAAATAGTTGTGACAATAATAAATCATCGCTAATGTAATCATCATTTCCTTACATTTTATTAACGACGGTTTCAACTGTCACAAATGTGGTATTAATTTAATTCTATTTTTTTGCGACGTTTTAGACTGTCGCTAATAGTATTTTTTGCGACGGTTTAAACTATCGCAAATAAAATAATAATTTAATTTTACTTTTTTATGACGTTTTATACTGTCGCTAATAATACTTTTCGCGACGTCAAATACCGTCGCTAATAATACTTTTGGCAACGACAACCAATATCGTTACTAAAAGTGAAGTTTTTTTTTTTTTTTTTTGTGTCAGGCTATCGTCGCAAAAACCATTGATTAGCCGTCGCTACAAGAAAGCGACGGTTTGTCACCGCCCCAAATACTTTTTGTCACACCTCTTTCTGCCACCCTCCATTTTCGTCACTACTCCGTCGCAAAAAGTCTTTTGCGACGATATGTGAACCTTTTGTGACGTTTAAGACCGTCGCAAAAGCTCCAATTTATGACAACTAATAAATAGTGCTATATATGTAATTCAATTATTCAAAATAGTGAAAAAAATGATATATCGCATCTCTTTTGTATTATGTATTTACTTTTTCTCTCGTTTCTTTCTCTATTCCTCTCTATATCTCTTTTTGTGTGTGCAATTTGATATAATTTCGTTCTCATATTTTATGAGGCAAGTGATTATGTTTTGAACGATGATGATCGTCATACATAAAATCAAATTAATAACGAATAAAGGTAATGATATGTCAACTCAAGCTTATATTATATCTAAATATGACTTTTGCATCGTAATCATTTTTAATCTTAGCCAAATAAAAATTAAATTAAGTTAGATCGTGATTTTCATTAAGATTTCAATTCAACATTGCCTCCTCTTAATCAAAATTTTGGCTTTGCCAATTGGGTCTTAGTTGATTGATTTCTACACAAATTTACAAATGACATGCAACATTCGAAATCATAGAGTATAAATTTAAGGATCATGATTCAAGAGTCTCAAGAAATTTTCACTTTTTATTTACTAGATTATATTTATTAATAAAATAACTTACAATAGTGGTCAAACCGATTATATATTGAGATCTAATTAATAGTTCAAAACTTCTGGAATTTTTTTTTTGGTTAGATTTATTTATTTTTCTCGTGAAATACTTCTTTCAAAATGCTTACATAAGAAATTATGTTCAATTAGTTATGTACCAAAATTAACTCAGTATTTTTTCATAAGAAAATTTAGCCAAAACTTCTCCATTGGACCCTCGTTAAGTGAAAATGACAACTTAATTTATTATGCTTTATAAACTCTTAAGGGGGAAACGCATAATTGAGTAAGGACAAAATAAAATATCATTTTTTTTCTTGGATAATATTGGTAGATTAATACATTACTGTGAGACAGAGTAACATGTTATTTTCAAACAGAGTAACATGTTATTGTTTATATCAATTTCGACGGTAATATTTTTTTTTTTTTTTTTAAGAATTTCATAGTCATCTTATTTGATAGATGTTGATGAGAGGATTTTAAAAATTATAATTTTATTAAAATCGACATTTAGATCAAAAGTTATATTATTTAAATTTTAATATTTTGATAATGGTGGTATGTGGGATTTTTTAAGAATTTTTTTTGTACTTATCTTTAATGCATTAAAGTTTTATTGTGAAGGTTTTTGACCAAATCCCCTTTTTTATACATACACATTGACCTAGGAATGGCAACGGGGCGAGGCCGAGGATCACACTCCCCGTCCCCGATGCTACAAAATTCCTCGTCCCTGTCCCTAATCCCCGACGGGGAGCCCATCACCCTCTCGGCCCCCGCCCCCGCCCCCTACCCCTAACAGGGATTAGGTTTCCCCGACCCTGAAAAATCCCTATAGCTCTCTCTTTCTCTGTGTTTAGCTTTCACTTTCAATAATAAATCATCAACAACATCATTAACAACAACATTATTTTCATCAACAAAAACATCAACGACAACATATCAACAAAACAAAAAAGAAAAAAGAAATGGAGATAGATAGAGACACACATACAGACATACATGTATACATACACACATACATGAGATCTGAGTGATGGGATCTTTTCAGATGTGAGATGTGAGAAAAAGGGAATCGATGGTGGCGGGATTTGCTCAAATGATTCAATTTCAAATACCATCCCCAGCCTGTCGAGAGTATTTTTTTGAGAAAAACTGCTCTTATCGGGGACGCAAGGTGGGTCTCCGTCGGGCCGAGTTCAAATTACTATCCCTACACTGACCCACTCTAAATAAAATTCTTAATTCTACCCCTGTAAATACATAGTGGTGCAATTATTTCCTGTATAAAAATACGTAGCAAAATTTGCACAACTAAAAAATTTCTACATTTTTGTAAATATTTATCCTAACTTTTTGCTTATTGACAGTTTCCCTGAATACTAAGGATCGAAGCTCCTCTAGTCCTTCATCTAGATTGAAGGGCGTTGTTCGGGCTCGTAAGACTCACCATGAATACCGTTTGAATAATCTGAATCGTTCATTTTGTTAGATATTTTGTGTAATTCATTCACAAAAAAAAAATAAGTTGATCCGATAACTGTAACATATTCAATTCATCATGTTTCTCACCCAAAAAATGAACAACAACTATGTTTTTTAAAATATACCATTTTATTTTATGACAAGCACAATGAATTAAATAAGTTACGATTATCTGATCAACTTAATTTTTTATGTAAGTAAAATACACAGGGTTCGTTTGGTTTGAATTTCTGAAAAAAAATTGGGAAATTTTCTCTACAAATAAGTTTTTAAAAATAATCAAACCAAACAAATTTTCCCAAAAAAATTTCTCAAAACTTATAAACCAAACAAGTTTTCTAAACAAATCTCTCTCTCATCTCCTTTGTTGTCGTGTTCCTAAGTTGAGATTATTGAAGAATCTAAGCCTCTCATCATATTCTAGAGAATTCGAAATTGTTCTTCAAGGATCTTCGAAGATTTTCGAATTTTCCAACTCCTTTCTTGAACCCTCTCCTACAGATATTTTGTGTAATTCATTCACAAAAAAAAAATAAGTTGATCCGATAACTGTAACATATTCAATTCATCATGTTTCTCACCCAAAAAATGAACAACAACTATGTTTTTAAAAATATACCATTTTATTTTATGACAAGCACAATGAATTAAATAAGTTACGATTATCTGATCAACTTAATTTTTTATGTAAATAAAATACACAAAGTATTCAATAAAATAAATGGTTTAAGTCATTAAAATGAGGCTCATAGTAAATCCCATGGGCTGAACAGCGGGGTTAAGGACTATGGGGATCTACTTCCCAATACTAATTCCTTTACCCCAAATATTGTATCTTATTATTGGTAACCCATTTCTTTCAAACAAGATCACTGCTAGATAATACCAGTTCCATCACCATCATTAGCACCACCACCTCTTCCAAAGCAACCCCACTATTCCCTTTTCTACAACCACAAAATCTACAACATTCCTAACATTTCTCTCTCATTCAAAGCTATCATCACCACCAACCATTAGGAAAATGATTCAGACCCCAGTGCCCCTACACACTTGAGAGAGAGAGAAGAGAGAGGAGAGAAAATATATATATATATATATATATATAATATGTGACTACAAATCAATTAAAAATTGTAAAGGTCTCTCAAGTATTTTCCCCACCCATCAATAGTTTAGTACCACCACCTCCTTTCATTTATTTCAAGGACATTCAAGACAGGGCACCTGAGGTGACTTCTAGTGGTCATACAGAACTTCAATTAACATTTTAATAGGCAATGGCACCCCAGCGTCTTGATGCTAATTAATTTTATTTTTATTTTTATTTTTATTTTTATTCTCAAAATAGAGATAAGGTTACACAGGCTAAAGGGTGAAGTTGGTAAATGAAAAGAAGCATCATCTCTCTAAGAGGATGAGTGTACAGTTTACACTTATTGACTCACTATAGTTTCACTTTGATAATTTAATTCATTTATTATTTAATATATATAAAAAGATAAATATAATAAAATTATATAATTTAATTATCAGATTAATTTACTGTTTTTTGAAAATAATCTATTCAAACGTATAAAATAAATGAAATAAGAGTGGGACTCGCGGCAGGCAATGAGATTAGATTGGCCTAAAAATCCAATCGAGGAGGAGTTATTTCACGGATGTGGTGGGCAATAATGAGCTTAAGATTGGACTCCAATCCATGAGCAGTTATTCTATGGGTCTGTCATTTCATATCAGCAATTTTTTTGGCTAATAGGATCAATATATGCAGACAAAAAAATAAAAAATAAAAAATAAAAAAATCACAGTATCTGAAGTAATTTTAAAAATTTACCAATGAGTTATTAATTAAAAAAAGTTTACCACTTTCATTAAAACTTTATTGATTTAACACCCCACTTCAGTATGATGGTGTTGTATACCATACTTTTGGAATAATTTATAATTTCTTCGCATCCACGGCACAACACTAAGTAGAATTACAATCACCCAACACTAAATAGAATTACAATCGGTGCACAAGTCCAGTTCCTAAACATTCCCTTATTCATCTCTCGTTCAACTAAACAAACAAACAACCCATTCTTGAACAAAATTATGTCACAAAAACAGGCAACAAAGAAAGAACAAATCACAACACAACTAGAGAGAGTTTTCACCCAAAAAAAATATTTAAAAAACACCCAAACTTTACACAAAATCACACACAACACAACACAAAACAAAAGAGGCTAACAAATATTGCTCCATTATTATATATATCTAAGAGATGGAGAACCTTCTTCTCCTAGGCTTGGTAATGTCCACAACATCCTCCATATTCGACGTATCCTTAGACCCATTCTTGAACGGATTCAGCTTCCCCAACCTCTTCGACACAGACGACAAGAATGTCTGCTTCTTAGTTCCTTTGTTTTTCTGAACGTCTGAAATGTACATCTTCATCTTGAGTAGCTCAGTTCGCAAGGCCTCGTTCTCTTTAATCAACGACACATCTGCTTGTAATTGGCTTCTTGTTGTCGCAGCGGTGTCTTTGAGGTTACTATGATCCTCTTCGTTGCCGCTCCTGAGTTTGAGTTGGTCGTAGTAGAGAGCGTGGAGGACGATTTGTAGTGGTAACCGTTTGTTCTGGGAAGCATGAACTCGAGCTTCGTTGGAGAGTTTTAGTGGATCCATCACACTGCATACCTTCTCGCGCTCAATCTCGTCCAATTTTGGATGAGCCTGCAATGACATTAACCATCCGAGTGTAAATTAATCTTCTCACTCAATCTTGTCCAACCGTTACCCTTTTTTTTTATTTCACTTATCAAACATGTAAAAAGTAGAAAGCAGGGGCGATTATTCAATACTCCCCTAGTATGGACACATGCGCCATAAGGTTTTGATTGGTAGAGAAACACAAGGGCCCACGATTTAAGTTGGGGATAGAAGAACAATATGTGGCTAACTAATTGGTGATTGGCTTGGATTATAGACACGTAATGCTCCGAGAGTATTAAATAATTTTTCAAAAAGTAGTAACAATTGAGACAATAAATAAAATATCATTCAAAAAAAATATGCTAATAACATATTATTTGCTTCTATTATTTTCTTAGGATTGGGAAGGGTATATTCGGTTGTGTGGGCTATCATTAATTTCATTATAATATCTTACAAGTTTTTGTGTTAGAAGGGTACATTCGGTTGTGTGGGCTACCATTAATTTCATTCTAATAATTAAATTTGTTCATCTTTCAAGTTTTTGTGTTAGATTATTTGTATAAAGAAAAAGAAAAAGAAAAAGAAAAAAGAAAAAAAATCTAAATTGTTCTAACAATCATTACCACTTAATTTATTAACTAACTTTTTTCAAAAATGAACAAATTTATTTTTTAAAGTGAAAAGATAGATGACTTATTTTTGAAATTATACTTATTATTATTAGTTTTTAAATCAAATATAACAAAATTATATGATTACGTTTATTATATTTATTTGAATTTTCTAATAAATAATTTATACATCCTAATCTAAAAAGTAAACAAATCAAATCATGCCTAATGAACTTACTGATCCAAACTATAAGGTATATTACTATTACCAACAGGAGACAATCATGAATATTCACGTAATGTGTAATACAAAATGATAATAAGAAAACTTTGGGAGTGTTTGGAAAGTTGAGTTTGGGTTATTTTTTTGGTTAAAATTTACAAAAAGATAAAGTATGTTAAAACAATTAATAAGATAAAATGTCACATTAAGTCTATAATTATTTCATTTTTTTTTTTTACAAATATCACATCTAATTACAAAAAAATCCAATCATCTTTTTAAACATAAAAATTTTGACTTACTAAAATAACCAAAAATTAAAAAAACTAACCTCCCAAAGACCCACTTTATATCATTTTATGTGAATGTGACTTGAATTCATGTAGAGGAAATGTCTAAAAAGTAATGTATAATTAGAATTATTCTATGTATGAAGTTATATAAATTCATATAAGATTTAAATTTAGATATATATATATATATATATATAATTGAGATTTTTTGGTAACAATTAAAAATATATAGGACTAATTGATGCAAGAGTTTTGTTTTGGGATTAGATGGGTTTTGAACATTGTATATGGGACTTACTGGTAAGTGTCTCTTTCTTTTAAATACTAACCTAATTTCATGATTTAAGGCCCAATTGAAACAAACTTCATCTTTAAAGTAATGTTCAAGAATATTGTTTGGATAAAATTTAGGACTTTTTACCTGAAAGTATATAAACATATTCCAATGGCTCAAAACTTCCATAATGTACAACAACCAATAAGTTCAATTTCTTTATTTTAAAACCCTGACTTTCGAATTCATACTTTTTAAGAAAATCTCTTCCAATATGATGTTTTATGCAATAGAAAAGTAACACCCATCTATCTATTCAAAAGTATTGAGGAGAAGCAAAGAAATCCCTACCTCAAGCATGAAGAGAAGAAAGCCAAGAAATCTAACTTCGATGAAAAGACGATCCGTTCAGATTAAAAGAAAGCTCTTGTCATACTCTACATTTTGGTATATGGAACTAGGGTGAGATTTTAAGTAAAAGAAGATAAAACCCAAGCTTAAAAGCTTAGGGTTTTCAAAAATGAAGGAAAAAGAGAAAAGAGAGAGTGGAAAATGAGATAGCTTTGACCCAAAAGTGATGCTCCCAGAATCTCAGACTATACAAGGAACAGACCGCTCGAGTGAACATCAAAAGCTCACAGAATCCTGAACTGTGGACCAAGGTACTAGACGATTCGAAAGATCACTTGAGTGAACAATCCTTCGTTCGAGCGAAGACGAAACTCTCTACAATCTTCCCAGCTTGGGAAATTTTGTCTCCAAAATTAAAGATATACCCAAGCTCAAAATAAGAGAATAACAAAAGAACTATACCCTCTACCAGAAGCCTAGATACATCCTCTGGATAATTTTTCAGATCCCCAGTCCAACATCTCGGTATCCCCTAGACCCCGAGTAACAAGATCAACAAGATAAAGAATAGTGAGTCACTCCCAACTCGTCTACTGTAACAAAAAGGAAACTGGCTAATCAAAGTAGAATCCTCTACAAGGTACAGGTTTTGGAACAATGATCCTAACAAAAGGTTACGAATATCTCTATGACCACATAAATCTAAGAGTCCGCTCCCATATTAAAAATAACTCTACACTCAAATCGTAACCAAACACATAAAACAAAACTCAATTAAAAAATTATTTTTAAAACTCATAACCAAACACATAACTCGAAACTCCATACTACTTTCACAACTCTACACTCAAATCGTAACCAAATACATAACAAAAAAATTAAAATATTTAAAAATATTTTTATAAAATAGAGTTTGAATTTATTTTTATAAAATATTTTAAAATTTAAAAAATTAAAATCGTAATATTTAAAAATTAAAATATTTAAAAATATTCAAAAAATTAAAAATATTCAAAATATTCAAAAAAATTAAAAAAATTAAAAAATTAAAAAAATCGTAACATATTTAAATATTAAAATATTTAAAATCTTAACAAAATTAAAATATTTTTAAAATATTGATTTGAATGGAGTTTTGAAAAGAGTTTTGAATTATGTGTTTGGTTATGAGTTTTGAAAAGTAATGATTATGTTTTGAATTGAGTTTTGAGAAATGAGTGTAGAATTATGATTTGAAAACCCTAAACAAACACCATACTCAAAAGTGAGTGTGGAACTAGATTTTAAAAACTCCACCAAACGGAGCCTTAAATTTTTTTGTCTATCTGGTCGTTCGCCTACACATCCTTTCAGACAGTTTTTAAATTTTTAGATCTACCCAGTCGTTTGTCTGGACATCTTTCCAGACGTTCGGCTGATTGACTAGAATAGTACTCAATTGCCACCTAATATTCAAAAAAATAATAATTTATATTTGTTATTGATTTTTTTTAGATATAAAAATTATTTTTTAAGACCAAAATGACAAATTATTTTGCCATTTATTTAAAATTAACAAAAAAAATTAAATAAAAATTAATTTGTCACAGTAATTTTTAAAAAATAAAAAAACATTTTTAAACAAAACAATTAAAAAAATTTCCAACCAAATATACAATCAAAAGTAATTTTAAAACACTAGCTGAATATTTTTTTTAACAAAAAAAATATACATATTTTTAATATTTTAAATAAAAAATAATTTCAGAATTTTTTGAATTTTTTAAATGAAAATTTATTTTTTTCAATAATTATTTTTTTGAATTGGATTTTAAAAAGAGATTTTTTTATGAGTTTTTAATAAAATTTTCAATAGAGTTTTGAGTTATATATTTGATTATGAGTGATAAGTTTTTGAAAGTTTTAAAAATTCTTTCCAAAACTCAAAACCAAGCAATTTTTCTTATTTCAAAACTTATTTAAAAAAATTCAAAACTCATAATCAAACAAATTTTTTCTTTTCAAATCATAATTTAACAATTTACAAATTCAAAATACAATTCCATTCCCAAATTATGATCCTAAAATTAAACCAAACGCAACATTTGATTCTCTACTAAACTCTTGAACAAATCTCTATTTATTTCGGTGGAAAATGTTTTTTATAGAAAGCTTTTTTTAAGAAAATGCTTTTCATACAAAGCGTTTTGTTATATTTGATTACGTTTTTTAAATTAATATACTAATAGTTGTATTAGAGCATCTTCAGCATATCCTTTAAAATTTTATCTTAAAATATTATTAAAAAATTCATTCTCTATTTTAAAAATTACTTTTTCTATCTTTTTTTTTTCACAAATTTTCTATTCTTTCTCTATTCTATTAAATTATTATTTTTAATTATTTTATATTTTTTATTTTTTAGATTGAGGTGCTCATGATGATGGTTGAATAAAGAGTAAATTTTTATTTTTTTAGGGGTGAACACTAATTCCCTCCATTTAAGGAGTAACTATAGCTCAATTTATACTAGGGGCTGATTTAAGAGGATTGATAGAGTTAGTTTTATGAGAAAACCTTCTCTAAAATAGCTAAAAAATGATTAGGGAGATTTTTCTCATAAAATCAACCTCATCAATTCTCTTAAACCATTCTCTATTATAAGTTGAGCTACAATTATTTTGTAAATGTAGGGAGCTACAATTTACCCTTAAAAAATAAAAAATTACTCTTTATTCAACCACCATCATTGATCTCGAGCACCTCTATTCCAAAATATAAAATAATTAAAAATAATAATTCAATAGAATAAAGAAAGAATAGAAAATTTGTTGAGGAAAGTAAATAAAGAAGTGATTCTTAAAATAAAGAATGAATTTTTTAATAATATTTGAAGATAAAATTTTAGAAAATCTGCTGATGCTCGTAATAGTGGTAGTAGCGGCAGTAAGGCGGAGGTGTTGGGCATAGTGGTGGTAGCGGTGACAGCAATGGTGACAGCAATAGTAGTGTGGTGGTGGTGATGAAATAGAAATGGTAATGAGGGTGGCTGTGGAAGCGGTGGAGGTGGTGGAGATAGGAAAACTTGCTAATGTGACATATATTCAACCATAAACATTCGATTCATCATGCAAGTCTCATTGATTTTAATCAGATAATCAAAACAATTGATGAACAATGTTAATCAGCAACCAACATACCTTCAAGTAGATATCAATGGCTCTGTAAAGATCATCATCAACCTTCCTAGCTCCCTTGGGCACCAGATTCGCAATTGCATTGAACTTCGAGATGCTCAACTCACCATACGTAGAGATCTCACCGAGGAACGCATCAACCGTCTTCCCAACCCTCTGCATCGCCGTCGAACACACCTCCCTGAAATCACCGTCATTGAACACCGCCATATTCTTCTCCTTCTCCACAAACCCCGAGATAATCCTCCTAACACTCTCCAAATCAAACAAACTCTCTCCATCGTACGTAAACGAAAGAATCAGAAGATCATCGACAGTTACGTGCTCTAGAATCGCCGAGATTCTCTTCTCGATCTCGTTCTTGCAGCTGTTTTTAGCTTCGAGGAAGATGGCGGTGCGGAGGAGGCAGCAGAGGAAGTTGATAGGAAACGCCGCTTTCTCGGACGGTAAGAGTGCGACGATGGATTCGAGAAGCTCTCTCTGGTTAAAACTGGCGTTGGAGGAGTCGCTGGAATCTGACGACTTCTTGCCGTTTCCAGAGTGATCTCGAACGAGATCGCGAAGCGATCTCTCTGCAAAGGTGACTATGGCGGTGGCGATAGTTAAGGCTTTTGCGCCGCGCGATTTCATGGCTCTGATGATCTTGTCGAAGAAAGATATGTCTAAGATCGTTAGCTCTTCTGTCCACCAATTCGGCGGCGATCGACTCGGAAATTTCGCCTCATTACAAGCCTGTGAAAATCTATCAGAATCAGTACACTATACAGGTGAAGAGCATCTCCAATCCTTTTGTGTGTGTTTTTTTCATGAAAATTTTGTTAAAAAAAGACTACAATCTCTACTATCAAATCTTTAAAAAAAATAAATTAAATGTAATTATTGAAGATTTGGATTCATTTTTATTTGGTGAAAAAATTATTTATTCCTAGATTTGATACAGATTTAATTCAATGATTGGAGCAGATTTGTAGTCATTTTTTAACCAAAATGATTAGAGAGATGCTCTTAATCATACTCTATTCGTCAAAAACAGGCAAGCAGAGTACCTTAATGCTTGCGAAATCGACGCATCTCTGCACAATCTTGAGTTCCTCAGCAATGGGAAGAAGATCTTCGCACGACTTTAATACAACCACCGCGCCGGAGAGGCTCGTGACGGCGACTTGAGAGAGAAAGTCCTCGGTCCTTCCGGCGAGGTTGGCGTCGCAGTATTTATCGGTCATTTCCAGATACTCGGCGGCGCAACGAAGAGCTGCGACGTTGTGAACTGTGATGTCAAAATTGACTCCGTAGCAGAACTTCGCTGCTTTCTCGAAGATTTCAGGTCCTCCGGGTATATCCGAGAGATCGATTCTTGTTAAATCAGGTTCTTTCGATTCTAGTATTAATTTTCTTATGTAATTGCTCTTCGCAACCAGCATGAACTGCCATTGACGTAAATGATTGTTAACACAAAGCTTCAATCTCTACAATTGTTTGAAAATACAAAATCAGAGACTCAAAATCATACCTTGTGAAGATTAAAATTGGCTTCACCAACTACGACCACAACATCAGTTGCAATATCTCGAGAAAAAACCCTGCAATTAGAAAAAATAAACAAGAAAATTAGACATGAGATTAAGATAATTAGTTTTTTTGGAGGGGGTGATATTTTTGGGTGAATTATTACCATTGGCCAGTCCTCTTCATAGAAAGAGAGATTCTATTGTTGTCCATGATGGAGGCGGCCATGGATGGAGCTTTGTTTTTCAGAACACGGAGAACTTTAATATGAGAGTGGGATGTGTTTTGGGGCTTTATAGAGACGAAGGTTTTAATTTAATTTAATTAATGGAAGACACCATGTGCATTTTATAATTAAAAAAAGAATAATGCTTGGGGCCTCTTTTGGGGGTCACCCCCTCACCCTCTTTTGCCACGTGACAGGTGGTGATTGGAGGAGCGGGAAAAAAAAGAAAAAGAAAAAGAAAATGTAACCGAGAGAGAGGGGGTCAAAGGGGGTGGGGGAAAAAGGGGGATGAATCATTGTTGTTAAAAAAAAAAGGGTAAATTACACTGACATTTTTTGAGATTTATATTTATTACAGTTTTTTCTTCACTTTTTAAAAATTACATCTCCCTCATGAGATTTAAAATTTCATTACAGATTCCCCTCTTCAGAAATTTAATTTTTTTAAATACCAATTTTGTCCTCATTGGGTAAATTACATTGACACCCCTCACATTTTAGAAATTACAAGCCTCTACCTAAGGTTTAAAGTAACATTACCAATTACTCCCTTAGTTAGTAGTAGTTGGAAAAAAAATTAATTGAAAAAAAAAATCATTGAAAAAATTTTTTGTTAGTAAAATTTTTAAATTTCTGTTTAAAAATCAACGTACGCTCATTTTTTGAATTTACGTTTTTTCCTCAAATTTACAAACTGAGACAACCATTTATAAACCAAAAAAATTATCAAACAAATTTTTTAACAGTTTTTAAAATTTTTGTAAATATAAATTGAAAACTGAAAACAAAATGGTTACCGAACATGTTTGATGGTAAAAATGTCGTAAAATTAAAAATAAAATTAAAAAATAATTAAATAAGTTACCAACATAAGAAATGACTTGTCGAAAGATTCTTAGGCTATGTACAGTTTGATTTTTAGAAAAAAAATTTAAAAATTAAAAATTAATAAAAAATAAAAAATAATTATCATTTAAGGGTAAAAAATAATTATCATTTTAATTTTTTGGCAGGTTATATACATACGTATGGTTGTTTCAATTTAATTTGTAAAAAAATTATTTCTAAGCACTCGAAAGATAAAAATTATATAAAAATGATAATTTTTTTTTATTTCTTAACCAAATTAATTTTTAATTTTTTTAAAAAAAATTCTAAAAATCAAACTATACATAACCTAAGAATATTTTAATAAGTCATCTCTTACGTTGATAACTCATTTAATTATTTGTTAATTTTACTACATTTTTACCATCAAGCCTGTTTGGTAATTTCATTTTTACTTTTCAATTTATATTTATGAAAATTTTAAAAACTGTCATAAAAATTTATTTGATAAATTTTTTGGTTTATAAATGGTTATCTCAATTTATAAATTTAAGAAAAAAACGTAAATTCAAAAAATGAGTTTACGTTGATTTTTAAACAGAAATTTAAAAACTTTACTAACAAAATTTTTTTTCAATTAATTTTTTTTTCAACTAATACTAAGGGGGCAATTAGTAATGTTACTTTAAACCTTAGGAAGGGGATTGTAATTTCTAAAATGTGAGGGGTGTCAATGTAATTTATCCAATAATGGCAAAATTGGTATTTAAAAAAATTAAATTGTTGAAGGGGGAATATTTGTAATGAAACTTTAAACCTCAGGGGAGAGATGTAGTTTCTAAAAGGTGAGGAGGGAACTGTAATAAATATCAACCTCAGGGGATGTTAGTGTAATTTACCCTAAAAAAGTATAATTTTAATTTTTTGACTCATAATTAAAAAAATATCATAATTAAATATAACATAAGATATAGTTAAAAAATTCATAAATTATAATTAAAAAAATAACATAACAAAAATACATATGATATACTATTTTTAGGCCAAGTTTGGCAACTCTTAAAAAATCTAAAAAGTCAAAAAGTCACTAACCTATTTAAATCACATCATCTTATTTAAGTCACATCACCTCTCTAACACATCACTTCAAATCCAATGTAAACCCAACTCATATTTCATAAAAATTTAAAAAATACACTTATTTAGTCTTCCTAAACTTAGCCTTAAATAGGGTGCGATAGAATTTTCCTTAATTTTTCTTGATTAGGCATTTTTGTTTATCTATATCTACTACTTTAAAACTAGCTTTTGGCTTTTGCTTTTTTTTTTTTTAAAAAAAATGACTCCAATTTATCCTATCTTTACAAGCATACGTAACTGTTGCTTTTTCATTTTTAGGAAGTTTTTTTTTTTAACTTTTTGGAAGTAGTTATCAATGCATGTTTGGGGAGTCAAATCTAAGCCACTTTCCGGCCGAGTCAGTCATCTTGTGAGTTAACTCAAGCTCTATAATGGGCTACAGGATGATATGTTATTTTATCAAAGGTTTTAATATACATATATGTATATATATATTGATAATAATAACATGTTATAAAATTATTGGTATAAAAAAGTTACCGACAGGCGACGTGGACGGGGGTCGACAGTAGTGGACGACAGCAGGGGTGGCTAATGGAGGTAAAGGGAATAAATAGGTGAATAGATAGATAAGTATCATGCGTATAGATAGTTAGAGAAATAGTTAATACGTGCACATATAAACAGATAGATAATTTTGAACAGATTGTTGTCCTTGGATAAATAATATCTTCTTGATCCAAAATAATTTAAGTTTGGGCAACAGTTTCAGAATTATATCTCAAACTAAAGTGCCCTACTTTTTACGTATTTTTTGATATAATTTTTCTTTATTATTATTATTTTAAAAAATAATATATTTTACCAAATGAATATCATTTGATATTTCAATGTCCATTTGAATTCGCACGTGCATGTTATTAAGAATAAGATATAAATAATAAATTATTATTTTTAACTATTTAAATGAATTAGCGATCGATAATTCAATATAGTACTAGAACGATGAATAATTCATATATTCAAATTTTATTGTTTACCGAGTTGAAAACATATATATCAAAGTGAGTTTGGTTATATGGTGTCATGTTTCTCTTTTTCCTTGCATATCATTGATCTTGGAGCCTACAATACAAGATTTTGTGTGATCCTATATGATCTCAAAGCCTGAATTATTCCTCCTTATATACCCCTTTTCTTTCTTTTGTTGCCTCGTTTGAGGCTTTGTAGCCTTGAGGCATATTTTTGATGTTCCAAAAATACCCATGTTTGGGTTGGGATTCAATCATTTTGGTGCGTGTGGTTATGATTCGTTGCTATAAATCACTTCCTTTATTTTTATTTTTTATTTTTATTTTATGACATGGAAAGGTTGCAAATCCTTAGGCCATCTCCAACGGTTCATCAAACTTGGTATCAAATTTAAAATTTGGTAAAAAAGTCACTTTTTGAAGCTCCAACGGTTTCACCAAACTGGTATCAAATTGAGAATTGAACAAAAAAATTATCAAATTAAGAACATGATACAGATTTCAACAAATTACTGTTTGTGACCGTTGGAGGAGAGGAACCGGTCAACCAGTCGGTTGCCCGGCCGGTTGACCAACCGGTTGACCACGAAAAGGTTCAAACAGTTCAAATAGGTAGGTTCAAACAATTCAAAATAAATAAATAAATAAATATTTTTGCCTTACCGGTCGACCAACCGGTTGATCACTAAAAGGTTCAAACAGTTCAAATAGATAGGTTTAAACAATTCAAAAAAAAAATTTTTGCCGTATCGACCAACCAGTTGTCCCTGGAGCAGATTTGATGAAAATCAACCATTAGAGTATTCTGTATCAAATTGAGAAAATGGTCATTTGTTTGAAAAATTAGGTGAACCGTTAGAGATGCTCTTATAAGATGTAATCATATATTGATAGATGAATTTCAGTCTCCAATAGCATATTCATATATTATTAATGCTATAAATACATAATTTTTTTCAAAAAAAAAAAAAAACATAAAATGCAAATGTTGAACTCATTCACAAAGAATGTTATTACTACAATTTTTGCACTTCTCTATGAAAAAATTACATGTTTATATTGCATTACATTGTATAAGGTATATGAAGTCTTTATAAGAGCAGATTGCATGATTCGTAGTTGGGTTTTTCTACGCCCATACTCATTTCCAATACTCGTTTGAAATGATTTTTTTTTAGTTTGACTTTTTAATTATTTGGCTATTTTAGTATAATTAAAAAGTTGTGCTTGAGATATTTTTTCCATCTCATAAAACTAAAGAAACGTAGCCTAATTGAGCAATAGTCTCCTGAGATTTAGGAGTTGTTTGGGGTGTTCTAAATAAGTGTACTTTTTAGACTAAAAAGTTGAGGGAAAAAATATGGATGTTTGGATTAACTTTTTGATTTTTTATAAAAAAATATGTATTAAAAAATTATATAAATTAATATATAGAGAAAAATTAAGATTGAAAATTATGCAGACGTAATTTTTAACTCTCGGTAAATAATAATAATCTTTTAACTTTTTAAATAATTTTTTAATTTTTTTTACACATTCCAAACTTCACCTTAGGGTCTAATGGTCTCGTCGACTCTTCAAAAAAAAAATGGGGAATGTTCAGAGCCACTCAACACCACAAACACATGAATAAAAAAAAGAGTAATGTTAGAGATCCCAAATATTCTATCAAAAGTTTTACCAAATATCTCACATGGGTGTGGGATCCACACAATGTGGGTCCCATATAGATCCCACACTCATGTGAGACGTTTGGTAAAACTTTTGGTAGAATTTTTAGAACCTCTAGCATTTTTGATAAAAAAAAACAAAAAAAGAAGTGGTCAGTACGTTTCCAGCTACAAAACAAAAGAAAACGATTTTGGTTGCCATTGCGCCACGTCATTTCTTCGCCAAAAATATTTCACAAATCTGTTTTCTTTTTTGAGGACAGGATAATCTCAAGTGGGCCATCACACCGTATCCGAAATTATCGGTACTCTGCAAATACTGTCCTTACACGTGTCTTCTTAATTTTCTTGAGAAAATTACTTATTAGTGGGGATCAGAAAAATAATTTATAAAAAGATATATAATTTTAAAAGTAATATTAGAGATTCATATTTTATATTTATAAATTTACTTAAAATGATATTAGTATAATTACTTATGCTATGTAT